CCCAGATTGACGCGTTTGCCGTAAATCCGGTATTTGATACAAATTCTTGTGCCATAGTCACAGAAAGGATTGCTAAACATGTCAGGGAGCTTTATACAGAAGAGAGTTGGAGGCAATACAAAACCTTAATTGATTCGATTGGTGACTGAGAATGATTTAGATGACTCGCCGTCAACCACTACATAACCTACAATGTCAAAATAGATTTTCTTAGACATCACGATGACTATTTTGGGTCAACTATTGTTATCCATGGTCTTCCTATGACTTCCACGAATGCCTATGATAAAGGTTTTTGTAAGGTCGACAAATGTTGTGAGCCGGTTGGAGGTTTATCCTGACATTAGCCTGGAGTTAACTAGCTGCAAACAATTTATATTTGGTCCCTCGTCGTTTCCTGAGGCTACACTTGCTTTCAGTCAGGAATCCTTTTTGAGTGCGATGCACAATTCAATTAATCAGAATTGTAGCGAATTTGGAAGGTTCTTGAAAGCAAGGAGATCCCTTGATGGCTGTCGCAGGATTATATGTTGCCTTACCAATTGTATAGGTAGATGATGGAATAATAATTAAGATCATGGGGTATAGTTCTTGAGTACACATTGACTGCAAGAGTTCGGTCAGTTTCTGTTGATTCCATGAGTACGTATCAGTGATAAGTGACTATGTCCCACAAATTAGACATGTATAAATAAGATCAACAGTAGATACAATTACACACATCGATTGTCAACAAGTTACAGCAGTAGGTAAGATAATGTTTTAAACAAATAGATTGCAGCTAAAATCAACGATAAACTCAATGGAAAAATTTAAGTTTATCTCTGATAAAAATATGCTTGTTTTGCCTAGTCTATTTTCTCAGCAATAAATTATGATTGCCACTGAAATATGATAAGATTTTACCACTAACTTTTGAACACACCCACTGGTAGTCACCTGTTCACCTAGAATAAATGCTTTCCTACAGTTTATATGCCATGTCACAATATATGTCATTTGCAAATCAGCCTGGTTGGAGTAAATCAGTTTTGCTGGTCGCCGGAGTCATACAAATTGAATACACAAATGGATCTCACGAAATCAGTGACCAATTCTGACGATTCAATGCGTATGATAGGTAAATATGATTACGGAAAGAGTATAATTATGTATACTGATAGTCCTGGAAAATATAGTTCAATTCCTGAAACTTACACTAGTCTATGAATAGCTACCAATCGTTATCTATAAAAGAACGCTTTTGTGTTTCGTCATTAAAAGATCGAGATGAACACAACTAACGAATATATCAGTTTTTTACATCTGATCATTTTAAATAAACCTAACTATGCCTCACATAATAATTTGTGCAGGTAAATAGACGTAGGGAGATCCAGGCTTTGTTTCTCTTGGGTTGACCTAATATGGAGTATACGGGAATTTAATACTCAAAACCCATTTAGAAAGAAACAACAACCTGGAATATTTTTTTCAAAATAACATTTGACTAGAAGTATTACTAATTTTCAAAACTGATTCAGAAGTTAGCCGTTACTAACTTAAGCCAGTTGGAATATTTTCTTAAAATAGCCTAGATATAAAGTAGTCCTAAAATTCTGAAACATATCTGTTTAAAGAATTAATCTATAAACTGATTCTGAATTAAGAAGAAACAGAAAAAGACGATCATTTTATTAAAATGACTGACTTAAAATTGCCATAAAGTTGATTTACTATTCTGAATCTAGCATAGATTAAAATACCGGAATAGTTTATTATAATGTAATATACTAATTATGACAATAAATATCCAAACAATAACCAGGAAAACATTGAAACATTTCTCAGAATAGGATAAAAGCAGAATATTGAAAGCAAAGAAAAATATAAAATTCACATAAGTTTTGGAAAATGTCAGTTTCAATGTTTAATTAAAAAATCAAAATAACATTTAGAAACCAATTACAAAACTTTCAATTACACCCAACCGAAATAGAAATTATAAAAACTTTTATAAAACTGAAAAAGAATTTAAAGGAAAAGATGCGAAGTAAATAAAAATTTAATAAAAACAAACCAAACCATTTTCAAAAAGAAAACAATTAAAATAGTTTATTTAAGTAAATTTGCGAAAATTAAATGTAAAATATACAAGTAAAATAAAACCATTTAGCAAATTAAAATAAAACAAAACCATTTAGCAAATTAAAATATATAAGTAAAAATATAAAGATCGGAACACAAATTGAAAACTAAAAACACAGTTCGCAGCAGAAATGAAAATAATAAAAAATTAAAAATATAAACGATATGTAAACATGTAAGCCCCTAAATATGTAAAACTTAAATACACTCATCTTTAAAAACAATTTATATCAACCCTTGAATACCAAAACATGTCCTTACTGGTCAATACAGTATAAACGTCCAAAACATTCTCGCTGGGAAACACATATCATTAATGATCAATACCCAACCATCTTGACCAACACTCTCTATAAGGGGAATATAACGTGTTCGAATATTTTTGAGGACTAACACTTATCTGTCTGGACTCAACGACGTTTTTTAAAGAAAAAAATCTATATATATATACAAACAAAAAGATTAAGGAAAGTAGTGTTGTATGGTATTCATTAATACTCGTAATTACACTACAATATCGACCTAATACCCACCTTACAAGCAACACAGACGAGATAAATGGAAATTATACGCTACATCGTGTTATGTATATTGTTTCTTGGCTTTCACAAATGATTATTGTAAGTGATCTCAATTTTGTATTTGACATCGTCCAAAATTAAGTAAATTATGTACCTGACCCGTGGCATTTATTTTGTAAGCAACATAATACATACCGAATATTTCTTTATCATTGATCATTAAAAATACAGATCATTATTAGTAGCAAATATGTTTATCTCAATTTGAGTTTAAGATAATCCTTGTTTCTGAACCTAGAAACTTCCAGAATGGAAATATCCTGTTAAGTTGACTTAGTATTTTCAGAAAATGGTAAGTGCAACAAATATACACAGTCTTATGTATTCAAAGTGGTGAAAACTTTGATAGGTGAAAGCAATTCAAACATACTCAAGGACGAACAAGAAAACAAAACCAAAATTCAAACTTGTATAATCCAGTTAAATAATAACACTGTATATACAAAACAACATTACAAAACAAAAACTCTAGAACGCCTCACCCTCCCTTAAATTGCGAGATGGCATTTTGGTGTTTGCGTCTCATTGATGATGATGATGATGATGATGATGATGATGATGATGATGATGATGATGATGATGATTATTATTATTATTATTATTATTATTATTATTATTATTATTATTATTATTATTATTATTATTATTATTATTATTATTATTATTATTATTTATAAACATGACGTCGGCTCAAAATATACATAAAATTAGCATTCTATTCAAAAAAAGTGTTGAACATTGATGGCATCTTGAAATGATAGCAAAATAAAAATGTAGTGTGCTATAATGGCAATTTTGATACAACATTATTATACGTGATTGTGAATCTATATATTGATATGCATGGCTGCCAGAATAGTTGGTGGAGGGGAGAAACACTGACCCACCATATACGCATGTTGGTCCAGCCAAGACTCGAATTCACGCTGATCACTGAAGGTGAGAACCTGAGAATCCTCGTTAGGATTTTCGTTGAATCAGAATATAATTTCTTCCAAGGATTCTAGTTTAATAATAATAATAATAATAATAATAATAATAATAATAATAATAATAATAATAATAATAATAATAATAATAATAATAATAATAATAATAATAATAATAATAATAATAATAATAAAGACATTTCACCAAATTCATCGAAACGCATCTAATCATTCGATTGACTGAACTGGAATCTTTGAAGTAAAGGGTTTTTCCCAATGGTTCACAAAATCTAGCCGATCTGAGGTAATGTAAAACCAAGATTCGCAGTCCATTATTTTTCTGCCTGCATAAGCTGATCAATTCTGAAGTCACCAAGCGGTGGTTGTTGGTCCCATTTGCTTTTTTGGAGGATTTATCCTTCATAATCAGCACTGTGAATGTTCAAGCAACAGTATCCAAGAAAACATTCATCTAAACATTCATGTTGTACATAACCACCGAGGTGTGCAAATGTGGGGCATGGTGACCTACTTGTTAAATCGTTGTGTTGTACTTTTCCGATGCGTACATGTATCAAATATTACGACTGCTCAATCAACTCATCTAAACAAGAACAATGTACACAATGTACATTTTTACCGAGACGTGAAAAAAGTATCGAAGCGACCTAACTTACCTGTTTCAACATTTAGTCTAATTAAAATTACTCCCGAATAATTTCTGTTGCATCTTGTCTTTTTTACCTTTTCTTTCAATTAATTATATGCACGTTGCAATGTCTATTTCATCTATTTAAGCAATCTTTTATTTATGAATACTTTAGAATTAAATATTTACTAGTTTAGTAATAATAATTAGCCCTACAATAAAAAAAGAATACAAACTCAAACACGCACACGCACACACAGACACATGTAAATGTATATATCAAATACAATTCACATAAGAAATACGAAAACGTTTTGCAATACCCTGTATATGTTTAGCTGGTAACCTAAAACATTGTAAGAACGAAGCGACCATACTACTTTCGAATAACCCTTTAAAATTGTCACTGTGTTTCCTCTTTTCCTTGCTGTTATATCTTACAAGATAAGAGCTCTTCAAAATACTGATGAGATGTGATTATAATTTTTAACGTAGCTCTCACAATTTTTCCTATCAAATCGCTACGATATCTGCAGTGTGTCATTTTGTCATTTTATAGTGATATCTAACACTGGTGCATCAAACCTCAAATATGTAGCATGTCCTACCCAATCACATTATCCTGACACTAGGCCGATCAGTCCTAACCCTAACCTCTTAATGTTGAGCGCTAAGCGAGGAAGCTGTTAGTACCATTTTTTAAAGTCGTTGGTATGACTCGACTGGGTATCAAACCCACGACCTCCCGCATGCGAGGCGGACGCTGTAACCACTAGGCCACCGGAGTGGTCTTCAAAATACTAACAAATTACCTAACTTTAAAGAATTATTACGAATAATGCTTGGTATATTTCTAAAATGTATACAGTTGAGATTTACATTACCAGTATTACAGATACCATGTCTTTCCTAAACTGATTGAAAATTAATGATGCTTTTCAATAATTGTCGTCTTTATTTACATGACAATATTTATTTTCATCAGGACACTAGTGCACAACAAATCGCAATCTCAGTCTCTGAAACCAAAATTGGATAGATACGTGGGGCATTCTGAACGTTTGATGCACAAATCGATTTAGAAGATTATTGCTTTATAAGATTAACGATGTAGAAGATTAATGATTAATGCTCATTAATATGATCAGACGTTTCCTAAAGCAAATATTTAAATATGTTGCAGTTTTGCTTCCGAGTTTTAAATGTTAGATTATATCAAATCAACAATAAGAAAACAATTTTAATATTTTAATATTTTAATATTTCGTTTTAACTTCCTAGGTAATAATCTTCAACGGTCTTACATTTGAATAAATATGTTACGCGTGGACGCAAAAGTCGAACAAAACGTGTGCGTATATTGTGAGTTTGTGTAAATTACTTGCAATATATGTGATATATTGATTTCAGCTGAGATCTTTTATAAACTTCTTGATGTGACAAGGGAAGAAGAGGAAATTAAATTTATGATTGTATGCTATAATGAGACATTTTCCATTTAAATATTAAAAGATTCGTTTGAAGTGATGCTAGAAGAGGGTGTTGAATTAATCGTGTATCAGTTGATGCAACAATTTATTCAAAGGCATGACATTATAAAAGTGACATTATAAAAGAAGAACAGGAAAGAAAAAAAACTTATTGTCTGATCGTTGAATCGAGCATGACATTTTATGTCATTTTCAACAAAATATAACTGACCTAAAAGACAAGCTAGCTAATGACAAGCACACATGTAATTAGTTTTTTATGCATCAAGGTCTTTATTATTGCTAATCAATCTGTGTCGATCACTTCTTTAATGCCAGCTAATATACACCAGACAGAACAGAAAGTTATATCCATTGATTCTGATAGAAGAATGCTTGATAATGGTAGACAGAACTAACATTTAATAGAAATAATACTATCATACAGGTTTAAATAAATACCTTGATTGGAAGAAGACCAGACCGGCGTCTTAGTCTATTTCTATTGTCACCTTTTATCAATGGTTTAGTTCAAAAACTTTGTACAGAATGTGATATGGCGTACTTTTTATTTCGGAAATATTTGGTTTATACTCTAACTCTACTGAAACAGTACTTTCACTACATGAATAAATTAATATCATTGAGCATATTTGAAAGGAAACATAACCGGAATTTAATTTAGCAAAATTATAACTAATTGATTCCCAGATTGATCTTACTCTACGTAGTTGCAGACGTTGTTGCTATTACGGAATATGTTTGTTATTTATGAATATATGTGGGTATTCCATTTTAAATTTTATTTACTATAGAGCAAACAAATATGCTGACATCTCATGCTCTAAAATCAGTATAAATAATTTTAGGGTTTTTAATACCGTTCCCTGTGAAAGATATTTAAAAATATTTGAAACTGAATTAAAACAATTTTGTGCAATTGATCTGAAGAGTTTGGGTTCCGTAATTGATCCTAAAATGGAAGCTGTTCATTATTGAATTTTATTTCTGAATAATTTGAATCTGCGTTATCCTGAAAACAATGCTATCATTGCTAGTGAATTTGAAAAATATCCGTTGAGCATAACGTATTTGTTAAATCTGTAAAATCCATTGCGAAAATGATATACAGGATACAATATAGAATGTAAATAACAGTCATGGTATGTTTTGTGTCAAATAAAGTGAAAAACTTGTTATTTTCTATGAGTCTTGGTATGTGTTGAAGCCTTATCTTGATAATGAAACTAGTTTTCTAAAATTGTTGAAATAAATTTTAATGAATTCTACTTTTTACATGTGATACAATAATATATTTGACAGTACTGAAACTTTCTAGTACAGTCTGTATACGTCATCATTGGAAACAAACATACTTGACACTAGGTTTGCCTTTAATGTTTAGGAAAATTCTTAATGATCAGGTAGACATTTATTAATAACTAAAGACCATTGATTCTTTGAATCATACCTAAATGATAATCTCAGAAATATTGAACAGGAATACAATTTTGTACTCAGCTGCCCATTTATTGTCTGTTTATTATGTCGATTATTGGATACGTGTCCTCATAGGTTGGGTGTCCATAAAGAAAATTGAGATCTGTATACCATGCTTTTACCGTGTCATATAATGTACAAGCGAGAGAGACCTCTAATTTAGCATCGCTTATCTTTAGACCACGACAAGTGCTTACAATAATGTGGAACCGGAAAGCATTTCTGTTCATCCTTCAGTATGATAGAGCCTAGCTGTGATATTGAACGGAATAATCAATATATTTGCTTGAAAAACTGACTGTCATTCCCGTGCAAATATGATTTTGTTGTGCAGGCCTAATTAATAGCAGGCATCAATTATTTTACGTTTTCAAAAGTAACCTAGTACATTAAAAATGAACAGGAAATGGAACTTTGATATCGCTCGCTGGCTGTTGAGTAGCATGAAATTCTGCCCATTCCTCCCTCAAGCATAACTTAATTATGGGCCTTCTTTGATGAAGAAAGTTAATTAATAGCAATTTTGGGCCACCATTGGGCACGTCGCCCCATCTTCCCAGTGTTTCAGGAAATGCTTTGGCGGTTACAAAGCTAATTTTGGTCTCTAAAAATAGTATCAACATTAGGCAAATTGAATTTTAAACCAGATATTGAGATAATATATATATATATATATATATATATATATATATATATATATATATATATATATATATATATATATATATATATATATATATATATATATTATTTTCTTTTACTGTGGAATGTTATATTAATATTTGTGAGGCAGTTTTCCACAAAACTATTGCTTTGAAACCTCTGGTTAATAAGTAAAATTTGTCTATAAAATAAAAACGAATCATGTCTCACTAAAATAGTTGTTGTTGTTGGGCTTAACGCCATTTTTCAGCACACGATAGGCTATTCATGGCGGCCAGTATTAATGGTGGAGGAAAAAACCGGGAAATCACCGGAAAGAACCACTGACCCACGAGAATCTCCTGGCAAGCTTTCTCACACATCCACATTTGCCGAATCCTAGACTCGAACCCACGCAGACAGAGGTGAGATGGCAGTGATCCGTAACGGACAGCGCTTTAGACCACTCGGCCACTCGGGGCCCCTCATTAAAATAGTAAGACTTTCTTTGCGAACTGAAATAACAAATAAAAGACTCGTGCTCTCAGCAAAATATAGTGATTTATGTTTTGTCTTTTGTTTATCTCCAAATGTTTTTGCTATTTACAAATCACATTTGCGTAGTATCGTTATGTATATTATATAATCGAAAGTACCTTTAGGAAAGGCTAATGCAGAAAAAAAACCGTTTAATTCTATACTGCGAGAAACAAACAGAAAAATCAATATTTTCCACTTCATAGAATTAGTTGGTTCACCTTTGCTCCGCCATCCCCTGCTTGAAATTGTTCATACCGAGATAAAATCTGTCAGAGGCAGGATGAGAAAGGTGGTTTTTAGAGAAACCTAATTACTCATAAAGCAAACATTTAGCTTTGTGTATCGAACATCGAGTTACTTACATGTGTTGAAAATGTGTCGACAAAACTGTTTAATGAGAATTTGAAGCAGCTAAGTTTTACAATGTTGAATTGTGTATATTTAATTCTTTGATTCATTACCTCACTTTATGCCACACGCATTTTGTTTGTTATAAACGATTGTTCTTCGGACCGAATGCAACATAAGCATGTATGACGCATATTTTGATAAGGTTTCTAACCTTTTTAAATCTCATTTCATAATTTTATTGAAAGCATGTAAATAATTCAGCTTTTCTCTGCTCTTATGATGTGTTTGTTGGTACTGTATGATTAATCTTTATGCCTGGATATGTATCTATGTGTATCTTTTACCTACTAACGCACAAAGTAAATTATGAAAAAAGTACTTTATGTTAATTTTGTCAGTAATTATGTAACAGTTTACACTTCGATAAACACAATTTCATGTTCACATCATACTTATAATTCCAATGTTTAGCCTATCACAGTCGAATATGTGGATATCACCAAAAAAACATTTGGTTTCAGTTGTTGAAGGTTTTATTTCATGTGCCTCTTTAAAATGCGTCTAAATGCGCAGATCAGTCTGGGCAATCGAAGTGTCAACAAATCTTATATAGCAGTACCGATAGGGCAACGTGGCAGACCGGGTCACAACAGTGAACTGATGCATAATTTGATTTGTTAGTTTTAGCAGGCTATTGCTTTTTTCACAATTATTGGTGTATTTGGCAACTTTTATTCTAACATTCCAAGCTATGTATATCTACTAATTTCAATCCTTGAAAGCAAGCTCATTTCCGTTTCAGGGACATCCTCTGTTTCGCACGTCATACACAACAATGACCTTTTAAAACATCTGGCGAAACATGTTACTGAAACCAAATTACACTGTCATTATGTAGAGTAGCTGCTAAAGACTGTCATACGCTTTTGTGGCTACATAGATTAGTGTTATAATAAAGAAGACCACGTGAAAACATAATTTGGAGTTCTATTTAGTGATTCACCTGAAGTGATGGTGCTGGGACGGGTATTCATGTTTCAATTTTTATAGTCTAAAGAGTTGCTACATACAAAGCTTCGGATAGAGTGCACTTCAAACTGACTGTAAACCGAAATTAGTCCTCTGAGTTAACCGATATGTAACGAATTCAGCATCACGCGACCGTTGTTCGTGTTAACTAACAATGCAGGAAACTGTCAATTCATAACAGTTACGGTTTTCGATTTTTTTTTTAAATGAAAATTTTCGTTATTGGTTTTACGAATCTGACGACAAAGACCTTCGAACAC